AGGCCACCTCCAAGACTATACCAATGTTCTTGCACACATGTGTGTGCACGTATATACACTCACAATGTGGTGACTGATCTTTAGAACCATTTTATACTTCAAGACTTAATCGCTCTACCCATGAAACAACTTCCCACTTCTGCCTTAACCCTTGGCAATTATGATTCTACTTTCCATTTCTTTGAATATGACACTTTCCTTTAAACATAGGACGTGTCCCTTTGGAACCAGTTTATCTCATTTAGCACGTTTTCAAGGTTTGTCCATGTAGTCCGTGCTCGACTTTAAAGTTGAGAATATTCTATTGAATGTGTATTTTACATCTTGTTTGTTTACTTATTTGTTGATGGAAACCAATTGTTTCTATCTCGTGACTATTGTGACTAACACTGCTAGGACCAGGGGGAATAGAACTATGTCCTCAAGACTCCACTTTCAATTATTTGGGATATGTACCCAGAAGTAGAATTGATGAGCCATTGCATAGGACTCCCATAGTGTTTCTCCCTTTTCATTTAGCTGCTCCCTTCCTTTAAGGGAAGAAATCTATAATCTCCATTGTTTAAAGGACAGAGCAGACACATAAGACTACAGAAAGCCCCTTACCTTTACCTCCTGGCCATATAAGGGCCAACCCTTCTACCTTAGGGAGAAGGAGGTCACTGTCCCCTTATGGCTTCTACCATATGGCAAGTGAGCAACAACCTTGCAGAGAGAGTAACTCATACTCTGGAACTGCTGAGGCACAGGTATGGCATTCATTGGCCCACACAGCAGCACTTCACTTGCTGGACTGTCAGTCAATCTTGGGTTGTGGTTGAGAGTTCCTCCATATGCCTGGGCACTTTGCTCCATTCAGAATCTCTTTTGGCTGATGAGTCACCTTTAGCCTAAGCCTCAATTCCCAGGAGAATCCTAAGTCCACCAGGTTCCTTTGGACATCCCTTTTGGTGACACTCCATGACTGATCCCTACTTCTTCCTTCTCGTGGCTGACAGACTCAGGACACGCCAATGGTGTCCCCAAAGGGAAGGTCCGCTTTGACTTAGATAGAGAACAGAAGTCGGTGGGTTTCTCCTGGGGAAATGGTAGTTAGCACCACTATTAAGAAGAATGAAGCATTCACCTGGAGGTAAGTGAACTAGAAGTTATGGAGACAACTTTTATGCAATAAATACCACCATACTGAGACATTCGTTGGGACTGAACATGTTTTAAGAGAGGGACAAAATAAGGAACTGAATGTAAGTACTTAATGTGACAACTTTAGTTGCACACAAGAGGTTTTTCCTGCACAGCCCAGAGCTTGGAATCTTTTGGAAACCAAATATTTTCCAACATAATCTGATAAAGGCAAGAGGAAGGTGCATGCTTTGATGTTCTGCCTAATCTACAGAAAATCTCGCAGTGACCATGCTGTAAAACACTCTGCTTCCAGGGGTAGTACACTGTCCTGTTAAGCCAGGCCTGATGCTTTCCAAGACAGCTGTTGTTGAGCCAACATCCCCAAGCTATGTGAGAAACTATTACATCTTTTACAACTTTTTAGTATCTTCAGCAGAAAAAAACTAAAATGGACAACTCAATGCTGACAATGGCTCTGAGGATTCTGTCCTCTATGTCTTATGGTGACTGAAAATGTCACAGAATGAGGTTATAAATTATATTATATAATAATATATATTATATTATATATGATTATATTGTATGTTATAATTTATAACCTCATTCTATGACATTTTATATTATATTTATAATCATATTTATATTATATGATTATATTATGTATAATTAACTTATATAATATAATATATAACTTCATTCTATGAATACATATATTTATAGAATTTCTGCTTTAGGACGGTCCAAGTTCAAGGGAAAGATCTCACCCTGGGGAAACGTATCTGCCAGTCTTCAGTAGGAGTTCCCAAGAGTCTGATAGATCAGGCATCTTCTCCTATAAACTGTAGTTTCCACTTTTGAAGATGCTTAAAGACGGGCATTTTATTTCATGTAACCCAGCTCCTAAAATGTACCAAAGACAGTAATCTGCTTGGGCACTGTGGGAAAAGCTACTGCGCTGGCGTTTCCAAGAAAACACACACCAGGCTGCAGCTGGGGGCCTCCTGAGTGGAGGTCAGCACACATTTCATGTGGCTTTCTCCTCTCTTGCTGCCTCCACATTGGGACCTTTGCCCGCCAAGTCTGCTGAGGTCAGTTGTGTGACTCCATCTTGCTCAGACATTCTGAAACTCCATATCCTTATTTGTGTGTGTGTGTGGGGGGGAGTACAAATAGAAGGAGGACGTCAAATCTCCTTTTAAACTTTTCTGATTCTGCTAGAGAAGAAGCTGTGAGCTCTACCTAGTAGAGGGGGACTAGTGAAAGGATGGGAAGGTTTTGCTGTTGTTGCTGTTATTCTTTTTCTATTCCTTCCTTGCACATGCCTTCTAGACAAGCAAAGGTAAGATCTCAAGCGAAAACAGACATGATGTAGCTTTAAGACGCTGGGGTCACTAGGTCCCGTAACATCTTCTTGTTAGTTCCTGTAGCCCAGCCCAGTTGGATGGCTTTTCCTTTTGTTTTATTTGCCTCTTAGAAATGGTTGACTCGACTTTAACCTTGCCTCTCTGTCCCTCTCATTTCTTAATTCAGACTCTCTGCACCACGGCCGTATAGAGCAACATAGCTTGCTTAGCTTGCACTGCAGTGAGTGCTTCGGGACCGGGTGTGTGTGAGCACACGGCCACCTTCATCCTGGTCTCTGTAGCTGTGTGTGGTCTGCTGTGGGGTCAGTCTCCATGTCCTGGGGTGTTTTATGACACCCGAAGGGCCAGCGTCCTGAGTGCAGCCAATGTATTTTGGTGAATTATGAATTATTCAAGCTATTTATACGTCAGATGGGGAGGGGGAGCAAGAGAGCCAGCTAAGGGCATTTGCAAACGCACATACCCTTCCTTTCCCAGTGAATCATAACCAACACAGCATTTATTGTAAATGTCTGTTTTCTTCATAGAAAAAAAAAATACCCCCTCAACTCGGTTTTTCTCTCGTCTTTTCCTCTTGCACTTCTTCTTTTCAGATTAGACCCGACTCTCATTTCCATGCTACTAATTATTTGAATGATCCTAAACCCTCGGTTTCCTGGTTTTATCTGTGTTAAAGAACAATTCTCCTTTCCCCAAATATGCCCACATCCTTGCGTCTAGGAATCTGAGTTAGGTCTTACAGGGCAAAGTGGAACGGAAGTGGCAGGGACTGAGGGTTTGAACTGGCTGTTGCGGAGACAGGAGATTGCCCTACATTACCCACATGCGCCAGTGGCATGCATGCCATCATCCAAGTCCTTACAAATGGAAGAGGACTACAGACCAGGTCAGAGTGACGCGACCGGATAAAAGCTCAGCCCAGCTTTGCTCAGCTAGAAGATGAAGGGAGGAGACAACGAACCAAGGACCATGAGTAGCTTCCAGAAGCTGGAGAAGGAAAGAAAATTATCTTTCTGATGACTTCCAGAAAGGAACACAACCCTTCTCATGCCTTCAGGTTTACACACTGGACCTGGGGCCTAACTTCTACAGGATTGTGAGATCTTTAATGCAGCCAAAAATCTCTAACTTTGGAGTGGTTTGTGACAACAGTCATAGAAGGGCAACAAGCTTAAGAGCCAGTTATTAAAATAATAGTTTTTTTTTAAATAAAAAGTACCCAGGTAATGGAAGCAGCATAGATTCCAGGGTACTTCTCCAGTACTCGTATTACAGCCCCACTACCTTCCGCTCTCAGAGTCTCAAGAGCTGGTCCACTGGTGACTGCCACCAATCACTCTGCGAGTGGGCCTGCCAGCAGCCACTCCGCCAGAGCCAGTCGACAGCAGGAGAAATCACAATGCTTTCAAATCCATTTGGTCAGGGCTGAATGACTGCCAGCTTTCTGAAGGGATTTTCATTTTTAAATTAAAGTGATAGATCTACCTGTCTGTATCTTTATGACTGTGGGAGCGAGAGTCTGGTCCAAGAGCCAACTTTGCTTTCCCTGTGCATCCATTCCTGTTTAATTTGTGCATTAGAAGAGCAAACTACGTGCATCTCAGCTCCAAGGCTCTATAAACTTTTTTTTTTAAGTCTGCAAGCTTTTAAGATTGGGAAAGACAGTAGCTCACTGCATGGACACATTCAGCAAAGAGATGGTATTTCCAGCAGGGTGGAGAATAGATCCTCCGGTCTCTGGGAACCTTCTTTCTTGGCGTTTTGCCTAACCACCAGGCTCTCCACCCATCCCCTTCTTTTGCAGTTACCCCAATATTCCAAGAAATTGCTCAATTCGAAGGACTTTCAAAACTTTAAGTCAAACTCCGGTTCCATGTAACTTAGGTATAATCCACCAAAGGACAAAGTTCTCAGAAGAATAACTCGTCTCTCTGGAGTTATGCAAAAAAGATGTTAATGAGACATTTATAATTGAGGCCACACAGGCATAAAAGTCAGAAAAGCTTGGTTTATGGCCTGTACAGCTGTTGGAAGGTACCTGCCTCTCTCGGGATGTTTGGGGATTATCGTAGAGGCAGTTAACCTTAAAACTAGGCTGGCTTTTACTCGGGCTCCTCTGATCCGGGTCACACCCTACCGTTTACATCTGTTGTCATTGGCAAAGACAACAAGATGAGGAAGAGGAGCATCTTGACTGTGCAGTCAAATGGTTGCAGCTTTCGCCTCACTGGTGGGCAGCAGAAGTCAAGGGAGCTGAGGCTGGCGATGGGTTGGATAGCAAGGGAAGGCTGCAGGTTGATCCTTGTGGGATTTTTTTTTTTTTTGGTCTTTTAGGTAGGTCAAATATTTCAGTACCCTTTATGCTATTAATCTATGTAGAAGCGTGTTCATGCAAGATCAGCATTTCAGAGAAGGGTGTGATTTTCAGATATTATGTCTCTCTCTTTTCACCATTAAGAAGCAGCAAGGTAAAAAAAAAAATCTGTGTCTGGTACTTTTTCCCACCCCCAGCAGCCTATCCAGAGGGCCGTACATATCACAAGGAACTACTCACTGCTCTTCCCTGTCTGTAAAAATGCTGTTTACTCACTGAGTTCCACGTCTGAGACCCACAGAGGAGGTGGGACAGAGCCAGTTGGATGAGCCAGAGAAGGAGCCGGCAAAGGTGAGGAAAGATCTTGAAAACGAGCCAGACCTGGAAGGAATACGGGAATGGCTTACAACTACACAGGAAAGAGAAGGGCTTTTGTGAAGAGGGCCGGCTTACAAGCCAGAGAGAGAAGGCAGAACACATGCTCTTCCCCAGGCCCTTCTAGGACCCAGCCCTTGAGAAAGGACTTGTTAATAGGAGGCTAGAGACACTGAGACACAATGATTACGGAGGCTGAGTCCAATTCCTTTTCCAGACAATCCCTACCCATTTTACAAGGAGTTTCCCATCTATTCTGTCATTCTGTAACTCAAAGTAGACATATGGAATGAATGGGGACCTCTTGGCGACCCTTTCAACAAATCAGTCAGAGCTTGAATTCTCTACAAAGGTCAATACACATCACACACAGGGCAGGAAGATGTTTTTTATGAACACAGCATGCTAGAATATTTTACTGTCTTCATTTAGGGACAATGAAAACCCTGCAAGCTAAAAAGCTTTCAAAACACAGAAACAAAATAAAATCTATTTTGGAGTTGGAGTCTTTGGGCAGAGGATTGTCTTTCCTTCAGTCTGAATTTGACCTTGTAAAGCAGACATAAAACCTACAATACAGCTTCAAGTTTGGAGCAGTTGTCCACAGATCTTTCTCGATATAGTGACCCACCCCCATGTTAAATTATTTGCTTGACTAAGAACGGGTAATAGTCAAGGCAATTTCTCAGATAAAATTTCCTCTTTACCAAGATAAATGACAAAATTCAAGAGTCAGAAAATGATGTTGTTCATTTTAGTGCTGGAGGGAGGGTGGAGGGGCTAATTCTGAGATGGGATAAGGTTACTAAAACATGGAAGTGCTCAGAAAACGGTTGTGTTCATTATAAGTAATACCCCCCTCCCCTTTTAGAAGCTGCACTTATCATCAAGGCTTCAGAATCAGATCAGTACTCACTGGTTATATCCCTATTGTATGTCTTCAAAGACTACCTGATGTCACAGATGTTACCCCAAAACTCAGCCTGAACAACAGCTGGAGCTGGGGTGGCAAAAAGACCCGCCCCCTCTTCTCCACTTTCTCGGCTCCAGCGTTGCAACATTACCCAGACTTGCTTCCCTACCCTGAAAACTGGAATGCATTGGCCCTCTGCATCCAAAACAAACACGAGTCTAGCTTCCCAGCACTTCCCGTCTTCACCAGGTTCATTCCAGGAGCTTGACTTTGAACAAGATGAAACATGCGCGTAGCTGAAATCAAACTGGGTACTACGGAAATGTTGAAAGAGGGCACTAAGTCTCAGGTCTTCCGGACAGTCCAGATTCATCCCACAGCAAATGTTCCTTACACTGCTGCTCTTCCGGTAAGCGGAAAGGAAGAAATAAGTCATCGCATGCCTATATAAACTGTCTCAAACCAAGGAGCCAAGAGGTAGAAGAGATGATATGGAATGCAAATTTTTTAAAAATTGATTGATTCGGTAGGTGGATGAGTCTGTTAACTTTTATTTTTTTAAAAGATATATGCTTCTTTTTATTTTTAGTATTACCTGGTTGAATCTATTAGTTATTGGATTAACATTGTTTCTCCTAAGATAAATCTAAGATATAATTAGGATCAGAATCAAGTTTTCTGCCAGAATGATCTGTTCGCTAAGATTCCTGGGAACATCCAACTGCAATGCACAAGAACCCACTGTAGTCCCACAAGCCTTGTCTGCCCTGTGTACCCTCAAGTTCTCTCTGCACTGCGTACCCCAAATCCTCTCTGCACTGTGTACCCACAAGCCTTCTCTCTACTGCATACCCACAAGGCCTCTCTACTGGTACCCACAAGGCCTCTCTGCACCGTGTACCCACAAGGCCTCTCTGCACCGTGTACCCACAAGGCCTCTCTGCACCGTGTACCCACAAGCCCTCTCTGCACTATGTACCCACAAGCCCTTTCTGTCATCTTCAAGGATAGAATAAATTTGAAAGAGAGAAAAACCATGCTGTGTGCATTTGTGAAATTATGAGGACCTTTAGAGTTTGATTGTTGAAACTTTTGCAAGATGATCGATGCCCGATCTCAGTTCAAAATGCACAAAGATGTATTTGGTGGAGACACTCAGAGAGCCACTGACTCTAGCCTCTTCATACTATAAATGGAGAAGTTGTCTAGGGGGACATCTCAGTTTTTCCAGCATTTTCCTGAGGGCTGGATTTAGTTTTGCTTCCTACAGCAGGGTTTCAATGACTCAAGAAGTCTGCAAACAGATGTGCCCGTATAGGAGACCCATGAACTGAGTGTATAGTGCCTGAGCGTGTGGGTTAGGTGGTTCCTGCTGAATTCAGTCCAGAGGTCACACAAAGGACAATCTTTTGGCATCGATTGCTGCAGGAAAGTGACAGCTGCAGAATTAGAATTCACTACTCCCTCAGGGCTATTTTTAAGGGCCCCATAAAGAATGGCCCATAACTTAGGAAAAAAGCTACCTGTGAAATGTTCCTATTTTAAGATGTTGCCAGACATTTGGTGTTAGTCTATCCTTGATCTACAAGCTCTTGGTTCTGTATAAATGCCCTAATCAAAATTTTTGGTTCAGTGACATGGGAGCTACCATCTTTTTCTTCCTAGCGTCATATATGTCCTTCCTGTGTACCCAAGGGTTCAGACACTATTGTTAGGAGTGAAACTGTCATCAAGAGAGACCATGCACTGAGTTAATAGGAAGCTCCTGAATAGCAAGGAGAGGAGGGGTATGAGGCCCACTTGGATTTCCTGCTGGGTTCTAGACAATCAGCCTCACAGACAATTATGGAGAAAGCTAGAAAGGCCAAGAATTAGCTAGGAATGAATGCTGAGCCTAACACATTTCATCAGCAAACCGTTAGAATTAGAAGAGTATGCATACCAAATGGACTAAGGAAACACAGCTACAGGATTGTGACATTGCAGAAGGCTGGGAGGGAGTGGAGCCTGAGAAGATGAACTCAGGGTAGACTTGTGAGGACAGCTCAGGTCTGGCTATGGAGAACTTGATCTTGTGGGGCATTTTGGTTGTTTTTTTTAATTTTTTGTTTATTTTTACTTTTTTCTTACTTCTTTCTTTCTTTCTTTCTTTCTTTTTTCTTTTTTTTAAGAGAAACTTCTGTTGCTGGAGATAAAAGGGAGAGAAAACCTAAGCTTATATCCACTAAAATTTCAAAAAGCATTTGGTCACACATTAAAGTTGCTTGCCCTAGGTAAGAGATCATGGTTGGGGTAAAATACCTTAATGTAAAGACAAAATACTTCCCAAACAGGAACCGGAACAGGGTAATAGCGCGGACTATCTTTCAGGTGAAATGGGGTTGCTTTGGCCCTTTTTCTTTTATAAAATTATATGAGGAAACAAAGGCTTTGGTTGTTTTTATGTTTCCTGGGGTTTGTTGTTGTTGTTACTGCTGTTGTCTTTGTTTTGTAAGAAAACACGAAACTGAAGCAGTCTATCAAAGGTCTCACGGAGGAAAGTTTGATGCTTTCTCCTTTCCAATTCTTCCACTGATAGCTAGCCATGGGGTACTTTTGCTGTGCCAACATTGTAGGAACTTAGATTATGGGTGACTCCAACAGACACCCCCTCCTCCCCCGCGTCCCCCTTGGCATGGGAGTGGATGTGACATAGCTCTGTCAATCGTGTTGTTTAATTACAGCATAAGAACCTAGATCAAAATATAACTCAGTTACTGGAATTCTGCTACATCCCATCTTCGAGTGCTTGTCACAAACATCACCTTCACCACCAGAAGCCATATGGCAAGGCTTCCTGATGTCTTTTGTTTCCAAGTTAGGATTAAAGCCATGTAGTATTCAGTCCTGATGTAAGTGTGCCCATACATTGTTGACAGAGTGAAACATAAAGGCCCCTGAAAACAAAAATCATGACATTTCTTTTGGTTCCTTCATCTCTGAGTCATAAGTTACAGGAGACCACAGAGACAGTCACAGCAGCACCTCAGAAGTGGGTGATAGGTTGTCACTGATGAGATGATAAACAAGTCTCTTTTCATGGCAGCTAGAAGCAGGCAGCATGGATGGGAATGAAGGTTGCCCAGTGCCAGAAGAGGGGTACAAGGAAATAAATAGAGTTTTATATTTTTTTTAAATCTATAGATTCAAAACGTAGCAAAGATTCTCATGGACCTGTGGAGGGTTTGGGGATGCAGGTTTCTTAAAGAGACAGTGAAGACATCTGAAGTGCACAGTGGGAAGTGCAATTTGCAACAGGCTGATTGAGGATGGAATCTTTAACAAGCACCATTGTCCAGGAGGCAGATCCAATTGTCTGGCAGGGAGAGTGTGCTGGTGTGCTATAAAAGGCTGAGCTAAACTCCTAGTAGACGGAGTAGAATTTGATAGATGATGTTGAGCCATGAGTTCTAAGGCAGCAACACAGGAGAACACTGAATCTCTCTTCAAAGTGTTCATTATTGGGAGAAGAATGCAGACACGCTTCTCGATTCCTCTAGCAAAGCAGGTAACAGTGCATGGCCTGTGAGATTAGAGCAGACACAAAAAGCTCCCACAGACAAGCCAGATTTGCCCCCAACATTCGCTCAAGCAATGTGACCCTTGGTAGAAATCCTGTGCCCAAAGGCATCAAAGGCATGGTAGTTGAATATGGATCTTTCCTTTGTTCTTTCCGCTCATCTCTGTTGCACACACACACACACACACACACACACACACACACACACACACACACACACAGAGGGGTGGGTGGGGGGGACACAATAGAAAGCAGACATGACTTTGATCTGTTCACATAAGGAGTTTTCTGGCCAGGTATGACTCTTGACAACCATTTGTATCAACTCCAAAATGGCAAATCTACCCACAGTGCTCTTCTTGCCTTGACATGACTCTTCAGTCACTGCTCATCATTGCCTTGCGACTACTTTGGGATACGAAAAGCTTTCTGTATGTGTCAACAGTAAGTCTGCCCTGAAACACACGTTACAGCTGTGACTGGCAACCCCATCTAGATTCCAAGTGCGGAAGTTATTTTGAAAGCTGGGATGGCTCTTCTTGGCTGTCAACTTGACTACATCTAGAATGAACTAAACCCAAGTTACTGGGTATACCCGTGAGGGATTTTTTTTTTCTTAATTAAATCATTTGAACTGGGATGACCCACCTTTAATCTGGACCTTTTTGAGGTGGGAAGAGTCATCATTAATCTGGGCCACGCCTTCTGGCGGCAGCCTATATAAGGGAACTGGAAGAAGGAAGCTTTTGCAGCTTGCCTGCTTGACCTGGGTCTCACCAGCAATTGCATTCCTTCACTGGCATTAGAGCCTACTCTGTAGGGATTCCAGCACATAGCGGAGACATCCAGCCTTATGGACTGAACAGCTACTAGATTCTTGAACTTTCCATTGGTTGATAGCCATTGCCGGACCCCAATCAGTAAGCCACTCCAACAAATCCCTTATGTGTGATCTCAATTCAGAATGTCTGGAGTGTGTTCTCTGCGCTTTCTGTGTTCCATAACAAAGGTAAACTGATCATGGAATCTTCTAGCTGGTGCATTTTCTCAGTTATGTGTTCTTTCACAGTCGAAAGGTGATGTTTCAGGTGCCCGCTGATTTATTAGGAATGGCTGGAAGTTCAGGTCCTGAAGTCAGTGGCAAAGAGGCTCTGAGCCAATTCGTTTCTTTTGATTCCTTGGATCACACCTTCTTAACAGGCAAAGAATCGGTAGAGCTGCCTGAAACCAGAACTCCCACATTATTTCCTTCTAGCTATATAGGGTATGAATAGAGTAGGATGCCCAGAAAGAGGTGAGTCCAAGAATACAAGTTTCTCTTCTTCTCCAAGTTAGTGTGTGTGAGAGAGTGTGTGAGAAGACCGTGGCTTCAACACTTAAGTTGCTGAGCCGCAACAGGACTTCTGGTCTACAGAAAACTACCCTTGCTCCGCATTGCTGGATCTCCTGGAAATTCAAACTCAAATGCCGAAACCTTGATTTTAAAGTCGGGAATCTCAAATCGCAGCAGCACCCAAAAGGACTCGTGAGGGACACAAAATACCTTCCAGTATCAGGCTCTGAGCAGCCGCAGCTGGCTGTCAGGAGATTGGAGCCGAGCACTCGAGCGCGCTGCCAGGTGTTTGTAACTGTTACAGAAAGCCTCTGTGCGCCCTGAAGTACATTTCTGGGCGGGAATAAAGAAATACTGTGCCACGATTTTTTTCCTCGCAGAGGCTGGGGACTCCCGGGAGGGCCCAAAGACCTGCAGTTTCCTACCTGGGTGGTCAGAAGATCTCAGACAGGTTAGGCCCTGCTGTGTGCCCCCAGGCGTTGGGTGTCCACTGTCCAGGAAGGGCTGTTGTTAGATTACAGCTCTGTTTCGAGGAATGCGAAAGTACCCAGAGGTTATCTCTAACCCCGAGGAGGGAAGAAGCCAATGATTCCTGGCTGCTCTGGAGGGGAGATGCTGGCAACAGCCCAACAGCGAAACCTGGGCACAGAAGGAAGGCTGTTCTGAGAGGCAGAAAGACACCGATGGGGTGGGGCCAACAGATAATTAAGGCACGGAGGACCAAGCCCAATAATAATAATGATGCTAATCACAGTTCCATTTATTGACCGCTGGCTCTGAGCCAGATACTGTGAGAAGCACTTTACAAGCATGATCTCATTTAATTCCTATAGAGGCTCCAGAAGGATTAAGTAATTTGCACAAGGTCACCCAGTAAGTGGGAGAGCAGAGTCCAGTGTGACCGATTGCAAGCCTAGGGAGGAACTGCCGGCCAGTGGGACTTAGAGGGACAGAGGTGGACCAAGTAGCAACTAGTTTGCCAAGGACGGAACATAGGTTGTATGTTCTTTTAGCATTCACTTCTCTCTCTCTCTCTCTCTCTCTCTCTCTCTCTCTCTCTCTCTCTCTC